CTTGTGATGTCCATATCGTTACGTACATGAAAAACTTAACTAAAATCTTAAAGGAAACAAGGAATTGTACGACAATATCTTCTATATGTCGAATAATTATCAGTTTCTTTATTCTGTCTAATAAAAGTCGCACGGTTAAGTTTCCTGTTCAAATACATGGATGATTGAGGTCATATATATCTATAATTTGTTTATTGTCCGTACCGTTCTTAAAATATTTCAACAGAAAATGCACCATAAGTTTTGAAATCTCGTTAAATATCTAAATATTATGTTACATTTATAAATTATTATGTTTTCAGTCTTTTTTGTTGATTGAATATTATAATACTTGATATTATAACTGGGTTGATACCCGTAACGGAAGAGGACATTTTACCGTTATGGCCTAGTAACTGGTTGCCATGGTGACAAGATGAAAGCAAATTATGCGCTGCTATTTTAACTGATGAAGATTTTTGCGTCCTTTAATAATATCATGTGAAAAAAATATGAATTTATAGTAATATATAAAACAAAATGTTTATAAGCGTTGTATGCCCGCAATCAAATATTGGCCCATATAGAAATTATTAAACAAAAGAAATAAACGTTATTGTCGTATTGTGTTTACATCAGTGCCCCATTTATCATTCTTGTATGTATGAAATAACGTCAGTTTGTCATGAATGAGTTGTTTACTTAGGATGACGTCATTACACTGCTTACGGATTGGCTCCGTTTTGTCAAAATATGTATTTACAGATATGGATCTAATATGTGGCGTTAGTGTATGTGAGATATTATTTCGGTATTGTATGAAAAGAAAACATTATACGGCCTGAAAATATAGGTAAAAATGCTTTTTAGTGTTGCTTTAAAAGGCCTTTTAAACCGGTGTTTATTGGCAGTTTAACACCCGTTTTTTTTCCTTCTTTGTCTATAGTGACAAAATCACGTAAGTGTTAGAATGTAGAATAATGCACGGTTTGAGTTCAAATGCGTAGTAATGTAATCACGAAGGTCGATAGGCCTGAGTGATTAATTACAAAGCATTTGACCGAAAAACGTACATTATTACACAATATTGCACGAAGAATTAATATCTATTTCCATTCTAACACGTCAAGAAAAAATAGAATTATTATTATAAAGTTGGACTTTATGTTTGGGTGGTTAAATTTGTTTTCGCCTCAGAGTTTCCCATAGAAACGTTCTTTAAAGGCTGTTCCAGTGGGTTGATAAAATCTGTCATGTAGAAACAAACGAATTTTGAAAACGTTGATAAAACTTTGTTTATTTTATTTCACTGTATAATTTTTCAAGCGAAATACAAATTATTAAAATTGAAATAAATGTAAAACTTAACTCGTTTGCAACATTAATATAGCGTACTTGATTTGATTGTTTTGCACGTGTTGTTTGGCGCTACATTGTGACGTCACGTAAACAACACTTTAAACGTCTGTACAGCGTTAACGACTGAATTAGATATATTGGTGTTCGGTTTCATTTTCTTAGTTAGACCATTTTCTTTCATTCTATATAGTTTTCACAACAAAATTCGACAAACAATTGTTTATATTTATCAGATTTTTCCCTCAATGTGAAAATACACAGGGCGATAATAAGAACGGAGAGTGCACTGTTGTAGAATAATAATACACGCTTCCGGCCTTCTTTGTCTATATAGGAAAATTTCCGATAGTGTTAGAATTGTGTATAAAACACCATTTAAAAGGTATTCTAAAATAACGTTTAGTAAAACGATTTCAAATCAATTCTTAGAAATACATTAAACAAAAAATAAATCATAACGTTGTGTGGGTAAGGAATCGAGCCAAACAATTTTAGATCGGTAGTCCGACATCTATACCAACGCACCATACATCACTGACGAGTTAAGTTAGCAAATATATCGATGTATTCGATATAAACTGGTCAATGTATATTCAAATGACCTTTACGAAAGTTAATGAAGTGCCAGGTCAATATTGTTGGACAACCTAGGAATATTATTTACAAACGTTACCGCATTGGCATAACACGAGTAAGTTTACGCAGTCAGTCGTGTGACTACTAACTGTGACCAATATAGCATAAATATATCGGTAGTTTCTTTATAAACATCACCGATCCGCCCTCGCCTCTATATCTTTAATTCGTTTCAAAATTGACAAATATTGTTAAACAATCTTCAACATACGGACATCTATCCCCAGATAGCATTCTATATGGGACCCATGTGGGGCCCATATGGGCACCTATATGGGTCCCATTTGGGCTGCCCATATGGGCCCCATATAGGAAGTGCAACCGGGTTCCAAATGGGTCCCATCTGGGCAACCCTTATACTCAATATGGGATTCACATGGGCCCCATCTGGGCAGCCCATGTACACAATATGGGCCCCACATGGGCAGCCCTTGTACTAAATATCGGTTTCAAATGGGCAGCCCAGATACTTCCATTATGGGTAGATTTTGAATTCCGGGGTAGATCTATTTTCAATTACTTCAATTATAAGTTTGCTGAACGTTTAGATAGCAACCGCTTGCTACAGAGCATGATTCTTGTACTTGCGTTAAATATTCAAGTGACGCTTTAACTCATTCTGTTTCCTGGAACAGACAGATTATGGCACAAAGCCTTTATGATCATGCAAGAAAACAATACACAATGTATATGCTTTAACAATGTAACTTTATTTAGTAATCTCACTTATGGTAAGTGTATATCATATATATATACAGATTCTCAATACATTCTGTGGACGCCTGATGTCAACAAAGAAACCTTTCCTTATGTAAATAAACTTAGAAAAGTGTACAATATAAAAAATCCGAGTAAACTGTACATATTTGTAAATTCACAGAATTTCATTTTGACTACATAGTTTTTAATTCAAAAATACAGAAATATTAATTATTATTCAAAAAGTCCTATGTAGTAAATATTACTTTGGTACACTAAATAAGCAACATGTAATGGAAAACTGTTTATAATGTACGAACAAAATAATTAAAAATGCAGTTTTATAACATTAGATACCTTACAGATCACTATAAGGAAAAATGAAACTTATGCTAGACACTGGTAAAACTTTACAGAAGGTCTTTGGAACTCCAAGAAATATATGTGTATAATGTTTAAATTTCAGTGAATCAACAGTATGACCCCAAATGTCTTTTTAACTTTCTACATAATTCATAGAAAAAGTATTATACATTTACTGTAATTCATTACAAATTTCTATCTACCAATTACTTTCATTTTCAAATGATATAGATCTACATCAATTAATATAAAAAGTTGTTCATTACAACCATGTATTACACTTTGGTATGGTAGTGCTGAAGAAAAAAATGTTATGCAGCTCGTGAAAAGTAACAAATATAATAAAACAAAACCTTGGCACAGTTGTAATACTGTTCATAGATGTATAAACAAAATAATATGTAGCTGATGAAAAAAAATTAATATAATTAACAAAACCTTGGCACGGTTGTAATACTGTTAATAGACGTGTAAACAAAATATGCAGCTAATGAAAAGTAACAAATATAATACACAAAATCTTGGCACATTGAAATACTGTTTATAGACATGTAAACAAAATATGCAGCTGATGAAAAGTAAAAAATAGTTTGTACAAGTTTGTAAAAATCAATAATAATTAAAATGTGATATTACACAAAGATCAAATTTGTTGTGAAGAAATTCATTAAAAAAATTGTCAGTAAAAATAGTTGGTTTCAGTAATTTCTCCGATATTATCAAAGTTTCAACAATAACAACAATAAAGATTACAAGAATCATCATTGTAAAGTATTTCAACTTTATTTTAAAGGTTAATACCATATCAATACATGTGTTCCCTGTTAGTGTCAAGTTTTGACAAGATGTTATAATTGTATTGATCAGTATCAAAAACATTCCTCTAGCATTTAATGTCTTGATTTAAATAGTAACAATGTTTTTTGTTTGTTTGTTTCATTTTACGCCTTTTACGTCATATAGGCGGGTAGTTTCCTGACCATCGTTTCTGGAGAGTTACACCAGTACTAGACTACCTTCCTCCGTGCTGTAACAATGTTTAATGGAAAAAAAAACAACAGCATATAGACAACAGAAAAACAGCATATAATGTCAACAACAAACATAACATAGCAGCAGAATATACTGACTAGAAGGCAAAATTTGACTATAGACAAGAATTTTGCATTTACAAGAAAGACATGCTATGCTGATGACCTCAAACATTAAAATTAGCAACAAAAAATATAACAAGATAAACAAATGAGCCGCTTACTGTAGTTCTGACCCTTATCACATTTTAAAAATACTTTGATACATATTGACTTTCAATCAGTGGAATAACTTATATGCAGATGAAGTAAAGGTTTGAAAATGTAAAATAAAAGTCATTTATTTTATGCTTTTGAGTGTATTACTGATGGATCCGTGAAAAATATATTTGATAATTTCACAGTGAAATGATTAAAATTTCAAACTTTTCTATGACGAGAGTACTTTTTAAAGATTTTATCATCATTCAAATTTTTTGAATTCAATAAATAATATCATGGCTATTCAACGTTGATTGTCAAACTTATTTTCAGCCCAAGACTTCCTGTATTTATGAGAAATTGGACTTAAATTCAACTAAAATTGATGTTAACAGTGGGGAAAACAGATTTAATATTAACGTTAATATTGAGGAAATTTCATTAGCATAAAATAAAAAGACACTTTATTGTTTGTTGTGTAAGATGTAATTTTATATCATTGAAGGAACTTTAAAAAACAGTGTTCTCACGAGCGCATAGCACTCATGAGAATACTGTTTTTAAAGCTCTCTTGATGATATATAAATTTCATCTTACACACACAAACAAACAAATATCCTCTATAAATTTGCATTTTTAAATTAAAAACATGTCTAGTCACTTCCTTCATTTTCTTCAGGTAAGGTCTCTGACACTTTGTTTCTTGCTTTCCTCCCCCATCCCCATCGCGGTCCGCGCCCCAGCCAGCCACTTTGAAACCTCTATTTCAACATCCTTCCTCGTTGCAGCCTTTGTCGGCAAGTTCCTTTGGACACATTCTACAAAACAAGCATTCTTATCCTTAAAGAATGAAATGAAGGTATTGAAACCATTCAAAGGTCATAAGCCACCTTGTAGAATTTTGAGCAGTATAAATTGGATATAAACTAATTCTGGTATGTTTTACCAAATAAAGATGTTTGTTTCCTGGTTTTACATAGCTTTTAACACAATATTTCTGTGATATCGCTGCAGTCAGTTGTAAGCTGAGATCATCTTATCGGTGTGTATCAGTAAAGAATGTTAAGGTAAGCAAATAACTTGCTTTACAGGAAGGTGATTTCTGTTTATATTATGCATCACAACACAATGCATGGGATCAAAACCACACAGCATGTAAAATATTCTCTCTTATTAATTTCCATAAAAGCTAGTCAAGCATTTTCCTTCATTAAAGCAATACCCGAAGACACAATAACAAGATCTTGGATAATAATATTAATATATCTATTTTGAAGACACCACTTTGCAAATTTGTAAAATATCACTTACTATACAATACATTCAGTATCTAGAGGCCCACAAACTTTTTCTACCCCTTCAGCCACTTCATATTGTACAGTCTTGCCAGTTCATTTGACATGGTTTCTTTCATCAAGCGGTCAACAGTTTCCCGTACATCTGCCATACCAAACATTGAGAGGAACCGCACCTTAAATAAAGCAGAACATAAACTTTTTTTAATGTAAATTTTAACACTACTAAGTGATGGGCTAAAAGTCACCAAATGACAAATAATTGTCAACTGGACCTCAAAAACATGATCTGCCAAGAAAACTGTTTGGATTGACAAATTAAAAGATCTTTCCTCATATATTTACAGCCTAGGACAACACCTTGACCTTAGTGACTTGTGCCTTTATGTTTGTCCCCTCCACCGAGTGTTATGGGGCACATTATCATTGTTTTTTTTTTATACAAGAGTTTATTCAATATCAACAGAATAATTTTTGATAATATAATAACAGCTCAATTCCTGGATTTTGTGGGTACTAGTCATTTTCCTGGTATTTTGAAAGCTGCCAGCATTTTGATTAATGAATTGACTGTCTTGTCCTAATTAATAATTAATGTTGAAAACGAGGTCAACTGCCCATGTCTTGTGCTCATGGCTATTATAGCATATATAAATAACATAACTGTGGCAATATGAATCAAAAAATTAAAACATGCCAGTTTTTAATTCTGAAATTAATGCAGCAAAGTGTTTGTCCACTGTGCAATATTTTCCAACATAAATATAGCAGAATGATTATACATTATTTTTATCATCAAGTGCTCACCACAGACCATTATGTTATTTCGCTTTTAGGCCAGTGGATATGGGGTATACTTTTTTCAGTTACTAATGGAGCAACATACATGACTAACACTATGCTTACCACAGATGAGAGCATTGTCTGATCTCCCAGAAGCTTATCGAATGCTTCCATCTGCTCAGGATAACGAATAGGGAATGAGATATATTTCGGAAGTTGCAGCGGTTGGTCATCTGCTGCTGACCTTAACAGCATTCGTTGCACCAGCCTCTTAATTTCACGATTCTTCTCTCGCATTGTCTCCAAGACTCGGAGAATCTGTGTAACAGCAGCTGAAAAAAAGGATTCATAATTCTAGGCCATATACTTTTAGAGCTATGTGTGGTCTGGATCCATGCTGGTCGCAAACCCATTATGTTGGTTTTGTCATGACCCGGCTCAAAATGAAAAAAAATCCAGTATTTTAAATTTTTTCCTTGGCTTTAACAGTAATTAACGCTAAAATCTCAAAAGGATTGTTGAGTGTGCAAGGTCACAAAATGTGAAAATGATAAGAAATCATGAATTAAACTTAACTGTTAACATATTTTTGAGCCTAGGCATGTCATTTGGTGAAAATAAACATTCTTGACTCTTCCAGGGACCGTAACTTTGGATAACAGTAGTGGGGTCAGGCAAGAATATGCGCACAAATTCACATCATGATAAAGAGTTAGACTAACACAAGTAATCATCAATTTCTTTTGAATATTTTTTGAACTAGGGGCGTCACAAGGTGAAACTTTCCATTTTTGGCTGTGTCACTCAATCCAGCTTGTTATAACATTTATTGACTTGTTTTGAGAATATAACATTTAATAAGTATGTACTGTAAATTCTGTAATAATAAATATATTTATAGCTCCGAGGTTTATACTTACTGGGCCCAATAATCTGCCCACAGAAGGGTGTATCAGAAGCACCTTGTATTGGAGAAGCACTTTGTACATCACTGCTGGCCTCTCGCAATGCCTGTGCAGATAAGCGAGGCGGAGATGAAAGTAGGCTTGTGACTTTGGGCATTGTTGCTTGGTCAATAACTTGTGGTGGCCTACTCTCTGTGTCTGTCTCATTCTCATCAGTGCCACTATCCGATTCATACAGCCTTTTTGATGGCCTATTTACAAGAAAATGAAAATACATTAATAAGTAATTATAAAATACATATACATTAAGTGAGTTATTGCGCCAAGTAACAATATGATTATGACCCGTAATCGGCTGGCAAACATGTACTAGTCTATGTTTACGTACCGAATTGTTGTGCCGCAAAAGATTTTTTCAATTGTCTGGACAATTGTTTTCACCATGGCCCGGGAAGTGAATCCCTTGCTTGCAGGCTCGAATCTGGAGTTTCTGGCCTTCTCTTAACTTAAAGTAGTATGTTTTTAAAGGGGGGTATAATTTACAATTTTTTTCGGTTTTTGACTTTTTAAAGATGAACACAGGTTTAATTATCTTTCGGGTCATATTTTTTCTTCCCAGGTCCGATACTCGTGCCTGTGCAACATATAGGGCTTGGTTGGTACTTGGAAAAAATACTTGAATTTGTAATAATAAGTATTTGCATTTAAATATTTTAAAATGCTTATGAATGAAATATTGGTACAAAATGGAAGGGACTTCTAAGGCTAGGAGGGGTCACTGGATTTCAAATGATGGTGTCCCTTTAAAAAAGGATCTCTTAAAATTTAGTCTAGATAGAAACAATATTATTAAAATGTTAGTGTCGACTCCGTCACAGCTAAGTTATTCAACAATAACAACTATACACATCCATAGGTCAGCTAAAGTGGCTTATAGTGGGCGTAAATTCTAGAAAATGTCGCAAATTAAACTGACAAAAACTATCGCGAAATTACATGGCAAAGGCAGAAACAAAAAATAAATGACGTTTACACTTACCTACACACACAATAAATCTGTAAGGATATAATATGAAAGGTCGTTATACGAAATCGTCGTTTAATGTTCCGAATTGAAATGAAATATTGTTTTCGTGTACAATTTTACAATTTAACGTTTCAATACACAATTTGATTTTAAGCGGCAGCGGAAATCACGTCTGCGCATGCTCGAAATAAATTTTTCATCAAATGCTGATTTTTATAAATAATTTCTGAATTAATAGTCTAAAAACACATTTTTATATTTAGATTATAAAAATTAAAACCAATATAAAAACTAAACAAATTAATTTCTCGCAATTGCTCAGGCATGCTAATATTTATTGGGTTGCCCGAATGGGACCCATATGGGTCCCTCATGGCTTGTATATATGTTAATGCTACGATTTTTATTAAAGATAATAGCAATTTATGCCAAGGTGGTCACACTATAGCTCAAAGTAAACAAGTTCTAAAGAAATAAATAAACGAAAAATCGTTTTTCCTTATAGTGCTGTAATATGGGACCCATATGGGTCCAATATGGGCGTACCCAAATGGACTTGCCCATATTGGTCCCATATAGGTCCAATATGGGCATATCCATATGGGCTTGCCTAGATATAGCCCATATGGGTCCCATATATGCATGTTTGCTGGGTCCGATATCCCACTCCTTTTAATAATATCATGACTAAATGCGAAAATAAGCAACTCGGACGGTAAAGCAAAAGTTTAATTATATCAACTGGAGATTTTTTAAAATTTAAGCTACACACGAGCACTGGTTTAATGTGATATTTTTATTCTTCAACATGGAGACACTTTTAACAATAAATGTGTTCTAAAAATATAATGTCACAAGGGGGACAACAAATAAATAAATTACGTACATTTTAGTACATTTTAGAAAGAGTATAGTCCCTTACCAATGTTCTAAATACATGTAGTTTATAATTATTATGACTTGGGCTATCACCAAATGATATGTATATACTTCGTTTAGAGTGTGTGTGTGTGTTCGTGCGTACGTGTATACTCACACTCATATGCCGAAAATAAATCATTGTTTAAAAAATTCATAAAACCTATTTTAAAAAAAGAGGAAGGGGACAATTGTTTAAAATTCACGTTTGATATCAATAATATTTTCACTGTTTTTAGCGTGGATAGGTGTAATGGCCATAGCAGGTAGGATGATGAATATTATTTATCGAGAAAAAATCCTGTGTGCTTAAATGACTTGAGTAAATTGTGGATGTTTTATTAATAAATTTAAAACAAACTTCAATTTAAAAAAGAAATTTGAGGGGGAAAATTTATCAAGGATTAGAAAAAAAGTAGGCTTTGAATTTTGAAAAAAAAAATTCGACTTGATTTGGTAATAGAATTTATTCTTAAACAGCAAAAATTGAATAAGCGTAACTCTAAGAATGTGTAATAAGAAATATTCAGAAAAAAAATATTGTATAGTTTCAATAGGAAACAATTTGTTATGAATATAGTACAATATATAATTTTGTCTATTAATAATTTAGATATCTAAGTGGGAAAAAAAATTAAAAAATATTCAAATTAGCTTTGGCTTAGTTTGTTTTGTTTTTATGGCATGAAAAAAATTTGCATTCGCATTTCAATACAAGTAAACACATCCAGATTTTCTTTTATTTGACATCCACAGTTAACTACATGTAAAGTCACACATGATTACTGTTTGAAGACAAAAAATATTATAAAAAGATTTATGTAATGTCAAACACAGCTAAAATCCCAGCAAACTTTTATATCATGCAGATTTTTGTTTATTATCTCCCTTGTTAACATCACACTTCTAATGTTTTGTTTACAGTTAAAATATCAATTTGAACCTCTAAAATTTTGAATTTTGAAAAAACTGTTATTGCTTTAATCAATTAAAGCATGTTTCTAACCAAGGGTTACTAAGTTGACCTGCTTTGGGAACACCTATAAAATTTTGTTATCAAGACACTCCTGTTATACTTATTTTATTGTAACAAAATGCATGATATTCCAAAATAATCCAGTTAAAGTTCTAATATACATGTACACCTACATGCACCACTAGAAGTTTAAGTTTGTCGAAAAATTGTATGTAATTTTGTCAATTTTGTCACTTTGGTTTTTTTATTTTTAATTGAAAAAAAAAATTAGGCGGTTTAATAAAAGCAAGTTTTGTAAATTTTAATGCTTTTGGTGACATAACACCACATACTTTATTTTAACCCTTTAAATACACCAGTGGCAATGATATTTAGTTATGGCCATATCATACAGGACCAGCTGCCCCATGTTGGAAAATAATTATGATAAATTTTAGTTTTATAAAATGATGAAGATAAAAACAGGATCATTAATGATCCAGTTCCTGATCTTTCGATAGTGGGCAAGAGGCCACTGGGTGTAAGGTTATAAACAAATTTACACAGCTCATTATTATTTAGATCTAAGTAAGTAAGTAACGACTTATTTAATGAGGCAAGCACATATGTGGGCCTCATCAAGTATTTGATTGGTCAGAAACTGTCATAGAATGTATACTGACGAATGAAAATCATGAGACTCGAGATAGAACTCGGAAAAAAAGTTTTATTACCTTAACCTCGAGGGTAACCTTGAGGGACCTGCAGATTAGCCTATTTTTCTGTATAGGCTTGTAGTTCTTCATTAAACTTTAAGATAATTAATTTCCACATTTTTTTATATAAACCCCTATTTATTTAACAATAAAAAATTTCATATTCAAAGTGGGACAGCTCCATTAGATATGTACATAGGTTTAAGTGACAAAATTTACAAAGTTTTTGCAAGTTTTTGGTGGATGTTTTATTCCAGCTTAAGTGCCTATTATCCAATTTAATAGGGATTTTCTGCAGTCTTAGGCTACATGTCATCACCTTAGTGCAATAACTGGTTAACTCCTATTAAATTCAGAAGGACTTAAATCATTACTGCACTAAGGTGACAATGTATGTGCCGGACTTTGATTTTTCATACTGCCTTACGTTATTAAATAAATACTGTGCAGCCAGATAATGAAATGTCAGTGTTTCTACTCATCTGCCTAAAATAATGTACAAAAGGGCACCTGTCACTGAGGTCACACCTCCACTTATAGACTGACAGCTGAAAAGCCAGTGTATGACCTTATGCAGTAAATGGTGACTTAAAATACTGTTAAGTCATAAGAACATTTTTATATTGTAATATATATTTTTTACTGTGATGTTTCAGCATTTACTAATTTAACTCTTCTATTATTAGCATAAATATTTAATACAAAGTTAATTTATTTCTGAAATTCTGGAGGAACAATAGTGAATTTAATATTGAATGGTGAATTTAATATTGTACTGGAATAAAATGCATCTTAGGCCTTCAATGATTATTTGAATATTTCTTCAGTGAAAGAAAGTAAATTATGAAATTTTGAAATTTGCATGATCATCAATCACTTTCATATTAATTTTACTTGTAAACATCCCACTATATAAAGGCCTTATACTTTATAAAGATTTAAAACAGATTTTATGTTATAAACTTTAATGATAAACTGAGATAAGGCGAAGAATTCTTGTTCATTACAGCATATATATAACCTGTTGATAAATATATTTCAGAATTTTATAAAAAAAATTATGTAATTTAATTTTTAAGCGTTATTTTGTTTTCATCTTTTCATTTTCATACCCTTCCTAATCCTTCCTTAATATTTCATCATACTAGATTTAAATAAACCAACAATTCTTAACCTTTCTTAACTGTTAATTTAGTTTTCTAAATAAATACATTATACATTTTAATGAAAAAAGTTTTATTTTTGCACTAAATAAGTTGCAATAAAGGGAGGCAATTCCTAATGTTTTCACAGTGTGCTGTGCTTTTGTATAATCACTTTGTGTGTGTTATCTCCCTTTACAACTCTAGGTGCTGGAGCAAACGTGGGTGGTCGCAGTTCAGGGGGTAAGTTCTGACCTTCCCGTAGGTTGACTACGTTATAAACATTATTTCATATTATTTTTTCATTTTTTATACATTAATTTATTTTTAGATAAATTTTATAGAAAAGAAAAAGAAGTTCCATTAATATGACCAAAAAAATAAATAATGTTTTTAAAATTTCTTCTGATAAAAAATTGTAGAATGAAGCTTGCTTGTTTGAACAAATATCTTTCTCAAATCTTTTACTTAATTGCTCTAAAGTTACTTCGGCATATTTTTGCTTCAGCTTTAAAAGCAAGAATTTCTGGCAATAAATGATCATTCTAGAATATGAAACTTCTTTGTAATGTTTGAATAGGCATGTTCTAGTTCAACATACAGTTTTTTTTGTTTGTACTTTTTTCTCCCTAGAACAAATATCCAACTTTTTTTATTTGATTATTTTCATGAATTATATTAAGCACACATTTGTATGTTAGAGATTTTTGTCACAATGTAGATAGTCAATAACACTTCTATGTTTGACATACTTAGATGATTATATTCCATTTCTTGAAAGTGTTAAAATATAAACTGACGTTATCATTTTCTTTTATCACATTTATAATATATAAATTAAGATTTGAAATTGCTCACTTGTGCCAGAAATAGAGTAAAAATGGGCACGAGATCTTCTTTAATCTTAGCTGAAAAGTAGCCATTTGACCTTAAACTCCTACCACACAAGAAGAAGAAAAAATTATGAAATTTCATATTCATTTTCACTAAGTAGATCATTTAACATAGTTGAGAATGTGCACCATTGAGGGCTTTATCAGTGGTAATGATAAAAGTCCCTGTATAATTGTTACCTGAGTGAAGCCTAACAGGCCGAGTCTGCTCATCTGTGTAGTAAGTCTTGAATCTATTATTTTTGTCATGTTGACTGTTTTATTTTAACTTTTGCTTATTTGAATATCAAAATCTTGAGTCAGAAACAGTGTTTATCAAATTCAATATGGCACAACAATTTAATGAACAAATTATAAAAAAAATGTACTACATGTATAATGGAAAGTGTCCAAATGCGAGTGAAGCATAAAGGGTTAGGGTTGAAGAGATAAATTGTGATTTATTATCTGATTTGAAAAGAAAATTAACAAGTAATAAAAACAAAAACAAACAAAAATAAAACAACAGTTGCATCTATAGTAAGACTTTCTTGCTTTTTGATAGGAACATTCTTATTATTGCTCTTGAATTATAGATTTTCACACTTATCAGCATATATAAGTGCACAATTTGCTTATCTTATATATCAAAAATTATATTATCCCAGACTTTCTTTACTTTTTTTTTTGCTTTTTAGACCTTTATACTCAAAGAAAGAGGATCATTTTATTATGATTATAATATATACCTGTCATGGGTAATTTCTAACAGTCAGAAGTATTATATTGCTTTTTTGCCAAGCTTTTGAACATAATAGATTACATTATATTTAGAATTTAGAAATTTGAATGAGATCTTAAGATTGTCTAATGTAAGGTTTTTTTTTGAAAAAGGTTATTCATGAAACCAATCAATCAATTCATTTTTAATAATTTTTAACAATTTCCAATTATTAGAAACTGAGGTGCAGTAGTATTATTCCTTTAAAAAACTTCAACCCGTCTTATAAGAGGGTGTTAGCAAAAAGTGTCATTTTTGAGTCAAAATCAGGACCCCGTCTTATAAGTGGTCCATCTTGTAGACGAGTTAATAAGGTATGTTCTAGGAAGGTATAGATAGTTCCTGATAGTTCCTGACTTTTACAATATTTACCTCCCTTTATAAGTGAAAAGCATCTGATCTGATTGGTCAGAAATAAGCATAGAATGCGCACTGATCAATGAAAATCTTGAGGTCGGAGGCACTTCGCAGACAAAGTTTTATAACTTTGAGGCCTGTAATGTTGTCATACAAAGAAGCATGGTTGTGTTCCTTTGTTGGAAGACACCATGACCAACAGGCCAATTCTGCGTTAACCTTTTGTCATTCATTGAACAGCCTAGTTATAATGTTAAATAGGAAACTTAAAATAGGTTTTTTCTTCTTAAAATAACAAAACAAATTTAATTTTCAAGATGACTGTATATATAAAATGTTTATTCATAACATCAATGTTTTATTATGTACATATAATTATATTTGTACCTCATCAAGCAGATATGCAAAATGGCAGTTCTAGTAGAAGGGGTATGACAGATAATTATACTATACAAACATTTTATTATCCCTATCTCTCTACTATATTACCTTCTTCAAACCTCAACAAATGAACATTAAAAGAAAATGACAAATTTCTCTCTTTAATTTACATATTTTCTTATTGTTTTCGATTGTTTCTTCTGAATTTTCTTTCCTTCTGGTGTTTTTACAATCATTTTTATTTCATTATTTTTTATTTTATATCTTTTTTGTTCAATTAGGTCAAGAATTTTATTATTTTTAGCTCACCTGTCACAAAGTGACAGGGTGAGCTTTTGTGATCGCTTTTCGTCCGGCGTCCGTCCGTCGTCCGTCCGTAAACTTTTACTTTAAATGACATCTCCTCATAAACCACTAAGCCAATTTCATCCAAACTTCACAGGAATGTTCCTTTGGTGGTCACCTTTAAAAATTGTTCAAAGAATTTAATTCCATGCAGAACTCTGGTTGCCATGGCAACCGAAAGAAAAAACCATAGTAGCTAGAGGTAAGATATTTGGCATGAAACATCTTCTAGTGAGTGTCTACCACGTTTGTTCAAATAAAAGCCCTGGGGTCAAAATTGGCCCCGCCCCGGGGGGTCATTGATTTTCCCTATATGCATATAGTAAAAACTTAAAAAATCTTCTTTTAAAGAACCCAAAGAGCTAGAGCTAAGATATTTAGCATGAAACATGTTCTAATGAGTGTCTACCAAGTTTGTTCAAATAAAAGCCCTGGGGTCAAAATTGGCCCCATCCCGAAGGGTCATTGATTTTCCCTATATGCATATAGTAAAAACTTAAAAAATCTTCTTTTAAAGAACTCAAAGAGCTATGGCTAAGATATTGAGCATCAAACATGTTCTAATAGGTGTCTACCAAGTTTGTTCAAATAAAAGTCCTGGGGTCAAAATTGGCCCCGCCCCAGGGGGTCATTGATTTTCCCTATATGCATATAGTAAAAACTTCAAAAATCTTCTTTTAAAGAACCAAAAGAGTTAGAGCTAATATATTAAGCATGAAACATGTTCTAATAAGTGTCTACCAAGTTTGTTCAAATAAAAGCCCTGGGGTCAAAATTGGCCCCGCCCGGGGGCTCATTGATTTTCCCTATATGCATATAGTAAAAACTTAAAAAATCTTCTTTTAAAGAACTCAAAGAGCTATGGCTAAAATATTTAGCATCAAACATGTTCTAATAGGTGTCTACCAAGTTTTTTCAAATAAAAGCCCTGGGGTCAAAATTGGCACCGCCCCGGGGGTCATTGATTTTCCTTATACAGTGTATGTGTATAGTAAAAACTTGGGGGGCCTATATACAGGTGAGCGACCTCAGGGCCATCATGGCCCTTGTTTTTCTTATGCATTTTTTTTCTTTAAGAAGGGCAGCTTACTTTAAACCTCAGGCTATTTTTGAAAAAAAAATCTTACATGATTGTAATATTAATGATTATACTAAACCAAAATCAAAATATAAATAAGTTTTTATATTTATTTTAAAGAAATTTGTAGTAAATAAATTTTGAAACTAGATTTCCCAGGAACACATATTTGTCACTTTCTGTAAAGCTTGATTTTACCTGCATTTTTCATACCGCTTTCAAACTCCGGCAAACTTTACTTGTAAATGTTATCTTTATTTCTCCCTTACCTGTATTATGTAACTGCTGTTTAAAATAGACCCTTAAAGTGTCTATTTATATACAACAGCATTGCCATAATGAATTTTGCCATTTCCGACAGAATTTGTATTATTTTTGTAATATCTGTGTTGTACATTTGTGTTACATTTCTGTGTTAACCTATTTTTTTTGTTGCTGAAGGGTTAAATTATAAATCTTGAGTAGCAATTATAGGGGTATTATATATTTAGATGTTTGGTGTATTTTTTCTGTATTTTACTAAGCAGATTTCTATACTCTATAAAATATTTCTGTGTTAAAAAAACAACTATTTTTTCTTGCATAATGCACTGTTGCTGGCTATTTAAATTTGATAAATTAAATTTACAATTTGGATGTTTAGCATCAATCAATATTTAACAATGTAAGTTAGGAGGGAATACATCGTTAGCTTATTGGATGTTGGTATTTCTACCTGTCCTGCTCATACCTGTAATAATACACAAATTGGGCACCTGAGATTTTTCTTGACATTACTAAGGCTGCTATGACAATTACAATGTCAGTATGGCTTAAAACTCAATAAAAAAATAACTGCACAATTTAGGCTTGTGATATCTGACTTGAGTATGATCCACGGTAATCCAGGCTATTTTAACTGTATACCAGTATTAAATGTAGTATATACAGAATGTGTACCGTGGGTCAGATTATGGACATTAGAACTGAACTTCCCTAGAGTATATACAGAATGTGTACCGTGGGTCAGATTATGGACATTAGAACTGAACTTCCCTAGAGTATATACAGAATGTGTACCGCGGGTCAGATTATGGACATTAGAACTGAACTTCCCTAGAGTATATACAGAATGTGTACCGTGGGTCAGATTATGGACATTAGAACTGAACTTCCCTAGAATATCATAATGGACAGTTCCAAATTCAAAGCAGTAGGAGTCTATTACATAAATAAAGAGAGATAAGGGTTACATAAATAAAGAGAGGGAAGGATTACATAAATAAAGGGAGGGAAGGGTTACATAAATAAAGGGAGGGAAGGGTTAAAATTGTTCAAATTTGCATTTATAATTTATCTCTGTTTATCATTGACAGTTTAAATTGGATATTATTAATTAATTTTTAGTCAAAGTAAAGAAGTCAGCAATGGTTCATAAAATATTTTGGTTCAATTGTTTTCTAATTAATTAACTTTTTATTGTACATCTTTTTGCAGTTATTCGTTTTAAATCAAAAGGTGACTAAAAGTTAAAAAAAATAAAGTGTATTTACACATTATTTATTTGTAAAATTAAGATATTCAATATAAGAACTTTATAATATGATTTATAGAATGTATACTGTACAATAAATATTTATTATTTTGAAATATTTCTTATAAAAAAAGCATAACTTTACAACTTTAATAATTTATTCGAAAACTGATCTTTATACAAAATTTATCTTATCTTTTATTATCAAATTATTCCAGGACATATTTGTCTTTTATCAATGCATAAACAAACTTCAAAATTTAATAATTTCTTGTTAATCAGCAATGATAGTTTTTCTTAGTAAGCGATATTACCACATGTACCAAAGAGAGATGTTATTTATGAATATACATGTATATATTATCTATATGAATGATATAAAGTCAATTATAGCCTTTTCCCTGTCATTTATTACCAAATTAGCTCTTTCGTTCAATTAAAGATATTTTACAATCTTTACAATTAAACAGTAATAATTCATTGAAAAATAAATTTCTTGTTATTGTTTAAATAAAAGACTTTTCTTTCATAAGCATTTATTTAAAATAAATATTTTAGATAGATATGATCTTAATTATTTTCATTTTTTTAATGGTAGTAGTCAGTAGTGAATATAAGTATTAAATAAACATTTACTTGTATAGACTATTTCAATAATTATAATATTAAAGTTTTGATGTTAAGAAAATAAGGAAAAAAAAAACTTTTCTTTAAACTATATACAGTATTATACACAGGTCAAGTTGTTACTATAGAAACATATTTTAATATCTCATTTTTTTGTCACTTTCTAGCTTCCCTGGCGGCAGATGCTAAAGGTAAAGGTAATAAGGCAAAAGGTAAAGAAAAAGGCGGGAAACCTACACAAGAAACTGAGGTAAGTTGTTACCAGTTGTGACTTATCAACCTAGTGCAATAACTGGTTAAATTCTTTTAAAATTAGAAGGACTTAACCTGTTACTACACTAAGATGACGATGTCATGTTTTTCAATGCAGATTTATCATACAATACAACACAAACATTTTTAGCTGGACCTTTCGAAGAATAGGGAGAGCTGTTTACTAACCTTAGTGTTAGGGTCGGTGTAGTCTTCACTGTCACACTTCGGTGAAGCTTTTGCGTGCAAAAAGTACTGAAGGGAATGGGTTGAAACTTCTCACACTTGTTCTCTTTGATTATCTAACATGATTATCTGATATGATGATTGCTTTTTTACAGAGTTATGCCCCTTTACTTCCTGTCAAGCACTGAGAATAGTCTAGCCCACTGTCTTATGGCAACTTTTGTTATTGTGTATTGTTTGGGAAAATAATAAACAACAAGCAGGTTATATGTTTGTATACTAGGCAAAATTTGTTTGTGTAAAAACATTGTTTAGAGTAGATCGATCTATATTATATGCACAATTTCCAGAAACGATTCAAATATTGATAAAATCTATAGAAATGTATCATTTGGATATTCTTATGAAACATTTCTTGAATAGAAAATGTTCAAAGTGACTTAATATGAACATGTATATAATGAATTATAATACATTATTTTGTTCTAGAACAATTTTATTATCTGCTTTATATGAAAATAATATAATGTAATATCAGATCATGTATCTCACACTTTCCAACAGCTTTCATGTATCAACCTTTTGTGGTTTATTGTTAAGAATAGTACTAAATACTATCAACATTATAATTAATTGTATTACAGACCTTCCATTATAAACAAATTCACTTTAAAATTTCATACAAACAATGAGAAACATAGAGCAATGTCCTGCTGTAAAGCAGTGGAACAATAAAAGTTAAACATGAATTTTTATTTTAACAGAACATTATTGTTATTATAACTGATTATATTTCAGCCAGCTGACAGTCCTGACTTTATAAACCCACTGTTAGAAGGTGCTGATTATATAGATGGTCAACTGTGGGTAGCTGGTAACAGGGTTCTCATTAACCTTAATCTGTCACGTATGTATTCAAGTTTCGTATTAATTTCAATCATATTAATGCATAATTGTAACCTCATTAAACAATGGTAATGGCTGATTAAGCACACTTTGATTTGTAATACACATGACCGACTGCATACTTGGTTTTAAACAAATAACTCAATTATAAACATATGTTAGTCTTATTCTGATTCCACAAATATTGTCTTTCTGTGCCTTTAATGTCTGTAATTTTCTTTTAGACACCAAAAGGCTTTTTTGACATTAAACACAACAAATAAATAACAGTTTTATAAGTTATTGAATGATTGATTAATTGATTTTGATTGATTTTGAATGATTGATTGATTTTGATAAAACATGGAGCCCGCATTGTTAAAAATAATATAAATAGTTAAAATAAACTATTGTTTGCATAATGTGTACCTAAATTAGATACAGTATTTAGTGACATAGGTAGACATTGCATATCAGAATAAAACAATAGATCACAGATTAATTGAATATGTAAAATATTACAGGAAATGAGATAGGTGAGACAGGCATTGAGGCCCTACTAAAGGCCATGCAGTATCAGACAACATTGTGTATATATAATATTGAATATGTAAAATATTACAGGAAATGAGATAGGTGAGACAGGCCTTGAGGCCCTACTGAAGGCCATGCAGTATCAGACAACATTGTGTATATATAATATTTAATATATAAAATATTACAGGAAATGAGATAGGTGAGACAGGCCTTGAGGCTCTACTGAAGGCCATGCAATATCAAACAACATTGTGTATGGAAAACAAAAGTAGCGGAACTGGGCTTATGAGATTATTAGTCGGGGTAAGTTAACATTGGCTTGCATTGTTATTGATTCATTGTATTTTCTGAGGAGTCTGTGGCCAACTGGTTAGGGTCGTTGACTTCAAATCTCTTGCCCCTCACTGCAGTAGGTGCGAATCCTGACAGGGACTTTGGATTTTTTATGTGAGGAAGCTATCCAGCTAGCTTACGAAACGTCAGCTGTTCTACTCAGGTGCCCGTTTGTGCCTGAAATAATTCACGGTAGGGCACCTGAGGTCTTCCTCCACCAGTAAAGCTGAAATATCACCAAATGACCTATATTGTGTCGGTAAGACGTGAAACCCAATCTAACATTCAAACAAATTTTATTTATTAATTGTTAAATTAATTTATTTTTTTGCAGAAAAACAAGGTACGATCTAGCCATGAGTTACTACAGAAGATAACAGATATCATGTTACCTAAAGATCCTTTCTATAAACCTCCACCACAGACCCCGGATGTTACTGAGGCTTAAATACAAATACAGATCTATTTACTTTAATATAGTTACAACTCCTTAATTGAATGATTTGGGGAAAAAACTTTGACTGGATTTCTAAGAAAGTCTTTTATTGGATTCCTTGGAAATTTTTTTAAATTAATTTCATTGGAAAAGTACTGTAATTGAATTCCTTGGAAAAATTGGATTCCTTGGAAAAGTACTTTAATTGAATTCCTTGGAAATATTCTTTAATATTCTTTAATTGGGTTCCTTGGAAAAAATCTTTATTCAGATTCCTTGGAAAATACTATGTTTGATTCCTTGGAAAAATTCTTTTATTTGGATTCCTTGGAAAAATTCTTTATTTGGATTCCTTGGGAAACTTATTTTATTGGATTCCTTGGAAAAATTATTTAATTGGATTCCTTGAAATAATTCTTTTCCTGGATTGGGAAAATTATTTTATTGGATTTCATGGAAAAATTCTTTAATTGGATTACTTGGAAAAATATTTTGACTGGATTTTGTAGAAAAATTCTTTAATTTAATTCTATGGAAAAATCTTTGGAAAATTCTCTGTTGTCATAATTCTTGGAAAATTTTGAAAGCTTTTTATAATGATGCTTTAAAAAAATAAAGATAATGAATGAACTGGGAAATGAAACAGCTATCTTCTGATATTGTTAAATGTGCTTATGAATGTATTAACAAAAACTGTGATTTTTAGGTATAATAACAGTGCAGAATTTTGTCATAATTTGTTCTATGCTGAATTTAAGGTCAACATTAAAACATATTACTTATATCAAATATAAATGTGTTAAACAAAGTTATAATAAAATGTGCTCAATATTAAATGCAAATGCCTATAGCTATAACTTAAGTGGCTTTTAAATTATTTTAAAAATTTAAACAACATTAACACATATAATATTATATAAAGCGGCTAGCCTAACATTATTGAACTGTGTGAAATTTAAATGGAAAAGCGTAGATCTTATAAAGGTTACTTTCTACTAAATGTTAGATAATAATTCTAGGATAATAAGTCTGAAACTTATTGAAATAATGTTGTCCTTTATCCAGTAATTTTTTCAAGCATCCACATTAACATTTAGATAAAAGTATTTTCTTTTCTTTTTTATTATTTCTAACGTCCATATTTACTGTGATAATGATTTTTTATTATGTTCAGAGTTATTTATATGTACATGTTTGTTATTTTATTTAATAAATGTTATTGAATGTTTTATTTCAATAACATATATATTACTTAACAGTTTGAAAGTTTAGATTCATAAATGCACATATATGTGTTACATAAGTATTATGTTATGTATGTAAAATATGCAACTTGCATTTGTGATCAATAAAGAAATCTCCTCTAAAACCTCTTGTTGTAAAATGTTCTTATACTTCTAAACCCAGCACTGTTTCAATTCATGATTGTTTAATTGGGTTCTTAAGAATATTTCTTCGACTGAATTCCTTAAAAGAAATCTTTGGATTCCGTGGAATAATTCTTCGACTGAATTCCTTAAAAGAAATCTTTGAATTCCATGGAATAATTCTTCGACTGAATTACTTAAAAGAAATCTTTGAGTTCCATGGAATAATTCTTTGATTGAATCACATGGAAAAATTCTTTGAATCCCATAGAAAAATACTTTGAATTTCTTGGAAAATAAATCGTCTCTGTTGTGAAGGTGCTATTATCTTGTTCAAGTAAGCCTTGAATTTCCATAACAACCTAGTCGTAACCGATCTTTTAACTTACCTGTAGTGCCATATACAGGGCTGGGAATCAAAACTGCGTCGTACCCTACAAAATGTAAACAAACGCCGCCATCTTGGGACGAAAAATGTATGTTTTTGTTTATAACTCTTTTTGTTGGAAATGATTGAAAACCAGATATATGTATTAACACGCTACACTATTTTCCGCTTCGTTCGGTATATGTTGCTTGCACAAATATTTTGTAAAACAAAAGTTATAGCGAACTTGCAACTCGAAGCGGAGCAGAATTTTTATGAAAATGTGTGGATACGACGCAGTTCATATTGCATAATCTATCGTTTTTTTTGCTTCAAATCAATTGTATATATTTGTTTCAGAGTTCACCAGAACTTCAAGAGCAGTGAATTTTGTTGCGATCATTTACTAAATTTCATTAAAATAGCGTGATGTTGTTTTTCAAGAGATATAATGGGTTTTTTCACGGAAATGTACGAGGCGCAGTTGAAATATAATATGATACGACGGCAGGTGTTTTTCATTTGCAGTCATGGCTAGTGTGGGTATAAGCATAAAATTATGTGCTAGGAATGCCAATATAACGTCCAACAACATTTCTTGTTTACAACTTAAGTCAAAAGCAGAGGTCACTCAATGGTTCCATAAAAATGGAAATGTAATACAATTCTATTAGGTCGCATTTTAGTACCTATCATAAGCATCTACAAATTCCGAAAAGCTGTATCAAATGCAATATACATTGAAACACGTGATCGCACACCCATATGACAACATGTTCCAGTTTTGCCTTAGCGTACATGTATCTAAAATTGTTCCCGTGAGTTTGAAATTGGAGTGATTACCATTTTTGATACAAAATTCAATATTCCAGTGTACCTCTCCTGGACCCTGTATTAATCAGGAATGAACTTTAAAAAAAAAAAAAAAAAAAAAAAAAAAAAGAGAGAGAAAGAATTACAATTTTTGAAAAGGTCTCTTGCTATCGGAAGAGAGCTATGCGCAACTTGCATGCCTACCTTTGTTACTTGTAATTAGCAATAATTTCCGTCAATTCTGTTATTACTTATGTCTTTTACGTGCCAATTTTATTGTATTCATTTTCTTAAGAATCGGTGAGAACAGATGAGCTTTATTATTTGAAACTGAACATTTAATTTTTTTAAATCATATTATAAATGGTTAAGCTACAATATATTTTTGCAAGTAGGCTATGCGTTCAGTTTAGTCATTTTATGTTCAGCGCCGCGGAACTTTGCCGCTGATTTTGTCGTATTGATTTTATTCATCGCCAATAAGGAAAGGTCTACGGAATGTATTTTCTATATTTGCACTTAAATATCATTTTTCTCCATTAAAAAACTTTAAATTTTCAAAATCGAGTTACATATTATCGCATCGAATTTTCAACAGGCTAGAGACATGGCATCTTAACATACCTTCATATATACTAAAGTGTGACTTTTATTTGATAATGAATTGCCTGAAAACTTACACAAAAGTTTTTAGAAAATGACTTCACAGAGGTTTGCCCCCTGTTTACATTGAAAATTTCTCTGCTAGTCTTACCGAAACAAGAAATGTAAATGTTATTCTCTTTATAATTAATTAAAATATTTATAATCTTAAAACTTCATGCCAGAAGTTAATAAAAAGCTGCTTAGATGTACAGCTGACGTTAACAAATTTTGTTGAAAAAACAAATCAGACAGGTGTGTCCGACCGAGGCCGAGCTGTTTATGTTTACCGAATTCAAATCACTTAAACTGAACTGCTATGAATTCGAAAACCACCAGGGACTTTTTATTCTTTCGTGTGGAAACCTATCAAGCTAGTTTAAAATGTCGATCGGTTCTCTGCAGGTGCAACATTTTGCCTGAAATAATGCACAAAGGCGCACCCCTAGTCAAGCTTATGTGTAGTGTGAAAGTTTGAAAACAAACCACAAAAAACAGTCATTACCAAGAACATGCAGACCCACAGTTAACTTAGAGCGTAGCTAGCCAAAATGAATTCAAGTTAATAGATTTCTACAATATTTTTGCGAAAAAATAGGGATAATATTGAACATACAGGACACTATAAGAAATTATTTCAGATATTATGATCAATTAGGTAACATGTTCATGTTTAACTGAAAAGTAGCTTCCGCAATGTAAACTTTCAAATTAAAAGTTATATTGGACATGACACAATGTATTCTAAATAATCAAAAGCAACAGAACATTGCTATACACCGCAAATGATCTGGGTTTTTGTATTTTCTGATCGCAAGATCAGTAAATACATAGCTAACATCCACGGTCTAACACAAAATTTCCTCACAGACCTAACAACGCAAAGTAGTTCTCACTCAAAACTGCTTAAAAACCAGCAATTTAAAAGAAAGAATAATTTTTAATGTAGACATTTAACGAATTACAGTGCATTAAAAGTTTAGATTAGTCAATAGAAAATATGAGGTTAACAAATTTCGCGGATGAATATCTTTTTTACCCAATGAATAATGTTCGACTATTTCCGTAAAGCTTAATCAATGAAAATGCTATTTTTAGCTATGTCGATTACCGAATACTCCAGAGCGTAGTACACAAATAAATCTGACTGTCGAGTAGTGGAATATATACATGTCGGACTGTTTTGGCGAGAAGATTTTCGCTAAATTATTTTCATCAGTGTTTAACAACAGGTTTATCGTGAAAAAAATACCTCGAAATTTATAAGGATTACAAACACGAAATGGAAATTCTCAATTTTAGAATTACAATGTATTTTGTTTTTATTCAAGCTACATACGTATTACTTCACCGTGATGCAGAGGTAGCGCGCTCGTTTAGGGTGTGAGAGGCCTATGGTTCAAATCCTAGTCGAGGCAACATTTTTTTAAGTGTCTTTTTTAAGGAAGTAGCCACGATATGCAAGGATAAAGTGTGGCTGTCATAAAAAAATGAAAAATGATTTTTTGATGCAGCTCTAGGCATTCAAAATTCCATATGTATCAATCTCAAACTGTTATAGAAAAAAATCTAAACGCAATCGCTGCGTAAGATGAAGTATAGTATATAAAAATAAACTTATACAGGAAAGATCAGAAAATACCACAGAGCATGCAGCCCTTTGATTTTATCTAGCGCAAGTGATTATTCCATAAAATAGAAATATATTGCCAAAATTATCCCTGTTGAAAAGACTGCTAAAATTACAACTGCGTCGTATCATATTTTATTTTCAACAGCGTCGTATCATTTTGTAAAAATCATTATTTTTTAGAAAATAAACATCTCTTTTTAATGAAAATTTAGTCAATGATTGAAAAAAAATTATATTTCAAGTTTATGGTGAACTTCTGAAACAAATATATAATTTGATTTGAAGGAAAAACGATAGATAAAGCAATATGAACTGCGTCGTATCAC